GTTGCTAAATCGTTGTCCGCATCTGCACCTTCGGCCGCAGCTCCTCCTCCGCCACCCCCGGCCGGCGGTCTTCCGCCTCCGCCCCCGCCTCCCGGACCTCCACCAGTACTAGATATCAAGGAAGAAACACCTGGTGCCAAGGGTGGATTGGGCGCTGTGTTCTCCGAACTCAACAAAGGCGAGGCTGTGACGAAGGGTCTTCGCAAGGTCGACAGATCGGAAATGACGCACAAGAACCCCTCCCTCCGTACAAGCTCGAAAGTTGATGGAGAGGCATCAGCACGCGGCAAGAGCCCAGCTCCTGGCAAGAAGCCTAAGCCAGAGAGCATGCGCGTCAAGAAACCGCCAAAGAAGGTGCTTGAGGGCAATAAGTGGACTATCGTATGAAAGCCCCCTATCATTGTGTTTTGTATGGTATGTCACAGGTGGCTAACTTTTGTATCATTTGCAGGAAAACTTTGAGAAGGAGCCTCAGCCTATTGAAATCGAGGCGTCCATTTCGCACTCCATTCTGATCAGCAAGTGCAGCAACACTACCATTATTGTGAAGGGCAAGGCAAACGCTGTTACCATCGAGAACTCGACTCGTCTGTCGTTGATCGTGGAGTCCCTTATATCTACTGTGGACGTCATCAAGTCTCAGAACTTCGCATTGCAGGTCATGGGAGCCGTGCCTGCTGTTTTGATGGACTCGATTGACGGCGCTCAAGTCTACTTCAGCAAGGAGAGCACGGACACCAAGATCTTCTCGAGCAAGTCTTCAGGCATCAACCTCAACGTTATCTCGGGAGAGGATGAGGACTATGTGGAAGTACCGCTTCCATCGCAGATTTGCTCCTACTATGATGAGAGCAAGGGCGAGCTCGTCAACGAGATTGTCTCTCACTCAGGTTAAGACGGACAGGTTCAGCTGCAGATAAGCAAGGGGACTAGACTGGGTAGAGCCAGAGTTGGGTCGATTTGTAGGAGTAAACATGGCGGCATATTTTGTTCTCCACCTCACATAGCCTGCTTCATTTTGGAACTGTTCAGTTTCGACTTGTTTATTCCAATCAAGTTACATTTGAGCATATTACCCTGCACGTTTCATGCACGCATGTTCGAAGAAGAGGCAATAGAAAGCTGTCGAAACGGTGTATTTGATCCTACCACGCGAACAATGGGCAGATGCTGTGTACATAAATAAAGCTCAGGATGAGAAGACTGCGAAGGGGAAATTTTTCAATATGATCGCGGTGGTGCCGACACCACCGGTCACGTCTATCAGGTTGCCAGAGACGCTTCTACTGTATCGGTGCAAAGAACGACCGGTCATCTACATGTAACCATATATGAACACACATACACACCCTCACCCAACTGATGGAGCGCCCTTGGGACGCTGGTCGACCTTTTCTTCTCTCCGCCCGTGTCGCCAAGGATAACTCCACTCTCATCCCCTCTCTTACAAAGGATTTATATCACCGTTTACAGTTTAGCCTTGGCGGGCTTGATGGTGGGAATGAGCAGGTCGCGCATCTCGCCGGCCGCCTCATTGAGGAAGAAGCTCATGCGCTGGCTGCCCAGGCCTTTGGAGACAACGTTGAAGTTAATGCTACACAGAGAAGGCGGATTAGCTTGTTTCTTAGATTATTGGGGGGGGGTTTTCCACTGCAGCAGACGGCAGCAGACAAATCACGTACCTGTTCTCGTTGATCATGTAGGCAATTCCGAACCCACCGTCAATGACCTGACTCCATCCATACCCGTTGAAGTACTCTGAGCTAAGCTGTGATGAGGACAGGTACCACGAGGAGGAGTAGGAGAAAGCCGGGTCCTGGTAGATGGCAGGCAACTCCTGGCCGGGCTCGAGCAGCCTCTTCAGACCGAACAGGTGTCTGTCAACACCCTTACCATCTGAGGCGGCAGTGATGTACTCGAGGTGGGAGTCAATGGCCTGACGGAAGAGGTCGACCTTGGCCTTGTCCTCGATATTGGGGTCGGCCATGGCGTTGCACCACGAGACGGAGGCGTCTGACACGGTTCTGCACGTCTCGGTACGGCCTTGCTGGAAGCGGCGGGTGGCGGCCGACTCGTATGTAGGGCGGTTCTTGCCGTACATCTTGTGGTATGCCAACTGGATGATCATCTGAACGTAGGCGTCGGGCGAGCACTTGAACTTCTTGATCAAACCCTTGCCGTAACCCTGGTACGCCTGAACGGCGAGCTCGTGTTGGCTAATGACATCGTGGAAGTCTTTTCTGGCGCGGTCGATCTCGGCTTGTACTTCCTTGGTAATCTCGAACTTGACGACCTGGGGCTCGGGCAGGTTGGAACGGATTGAGGGGTCAGAGAGGTCGAGCTTGTTGTTGAAGATGAGGTCGTTGATGAAGTCGTTGAGACGGTGAGTGGGGGTTCCGTCCATCATGGAGTGCTCTCCCATGAATCCTGACGTAGCATTGTCATTGACAATGAATTGAAGGGGCTTGTCGTACCAACGGTTGGCGCCGTCACCGTGCCAGTACTGATGGGCGCGCTCCTCGAGAGTAACGGGAGCAGCATCGTCGAGGCACACGACGAAGGAGGACGCTTCAACCGCCTCCAGAGAGGCGGCGTTCTTGGGGCTGGCCTTGAGAAGGATCTCGCGCGCATCTGACCAGACGTCACGGTTCTCACTGGTCAGAGCGCCCACGGGAGGGACTCTCTGGGCCAACTCGTACACCTTGTTGAACTGCTGCTCGAGCTCTGAGGCGTTGAGCTGCTTGCCGTCCACCTCGTGCAGAATCTTGAAGATTTGGTTTTTGCGAATGGCAATGATGTACTTGTGGTCCTTGTGGGAGAACTTGGCGGGGTAGTCGGCGGGTTTTGCGGCGACACGGCTGGTGTTGAACATCCACTTGTAGCTGTCCATGCAGATGGGCAGTCTCTTCATGTATTCGGGCTCGAGTGTGCCTTCGTCAACCTGCTTCTTGAACTCGAGGACAGCCGAGGTGATGGCCGCGGCCCTCTTGGCAGGGTTCCTCCTCCGACGGTCGTCACGGTGAGAGTAGAAGTAGCTCACGTAGGGAACGACGGGGTCTCTGTAGCTGAGGTATGCCGCATCGTTCCACCACTCGTACAGCCAGTTGCGGTGCGCGGGATCTTCTCTCCGGGCGAGCAGCTTCTCCTGGAGCTTGCTGCCGACACCACCGGGCTTGACGAATTCCTCGACGGCCTTTTTGCTGGTGGCGAACTCGGATTCGGAAAGAAGGGGGTGGAGGGTCTTGATGTAGCGAGCGGCTGTTTCTTCGAGAGTCGGCACAGGCAGACGGGGCAGAGAGTCCTGGAATCTCAGCATGGCGCCCTTGGATTTGTCCTCAACATATCCTGTGTGTAGTTCACCATGTCAGTCGGGTGAAGATCAATGCGCCGAGCGATGCGCATCCTCGGTTATTCAAGGCGCGAGCGCGGCTTGAGAATGTTTGGGGAGTCGCAAATTACCTGAAGGAAGGGAACTGTTGTTCCGCTTTGCTGCAGGAGCCATGGCTGCAAAGGTCTGGAGAGAAAGTAGACGTGGTTAGAGAGTGTAAGAAACAGAGCATGAGGCAGAGAAGATGTGTGTTTTGTATAAGAAGTGTGTGAGAAACGGAAGAGAGAAGCTCCTCAAAAGTGATGGATGGAGCCGAAGAAGCGGAGCGGGGTGGGATCAAGGATGATGGCGTTGAGCCGAGGCCAAAGAGCAGAGCAGAGCAGAGCAGAGAAAGGATAGCAGAAGGGAAGATGGAACCGCGTCAACGAACAAAACGTACCGGACGATTAAAGGTCAGATGTCTCAAAGAAGTCCTTGCCGTGGCAGACCTAGCCTCCAACGCTCGCAATGCGGCAGACATGACCAATTCTTGAAAAGGATTAAACGTGTGGTGGTGTGTGAGTGGTTGGGTGGTGTTAAAATAGTTGCAGTGCAGACGCAGTGGTGGCACGCACGAAAAAAGGTAGCCGCAGAAAGATCCGCGGCAGACGGCAGACGGGCAGGCGATTCAGTCGAGTGGTTTTTGGAGCCGGAGCGGAGGCTAGCCGGAGCGAGCGAGGGACGAGGACAGAGTGACAAGAGTGACAGACTGACAGATACCTCAGAGGCTCAGACACCTTCAGACAGACGGGGGACTTGGAGTGAGTGGCTGCTTGTCACAAGCCAAAACGGAGGTGCCACGCGGGAGTCCCTTTATTGCCAGCAGCAATGTCAACCACCACAGGGATGTGTGGATTTTGGCCTTGCCTGGGAGATGGTGAGTATGTACGGAGTACTCTGTCAAGCACCTCAATTAGGTACCCCAAGAGGAGGCGACTGCGGTTCGGTACGGGGTCCGGCTATGGGGAATAACTGGGGTATGGGGTTCCAGGTTCTCACGAAGGCGCTGTAAGCCAGATGCTTCCAGTCGCAACAACAGTGACGGGGCGGTGGGGGTGGGCTGGTTTATCGATACCTCGGGCTGCCAATGTGTAGAAGCGTCAGGGAGCAAAAGCGTCCCCGGATGACGGGAATGGATGCTGTGTGAGGTTGACGAAGACACTGAGGTAAGGTAAGGTAGGTAGCGAGCTTTTCCTGTTCTCCGACTACCTAAGGTACGGTCGCGAGAGATGGCGTGGGATCGCGTCTTGTCGATGAGGTGGCTGGCAGGAGGATGGGCCGGTGTAGGTAGTTCAGTGCCGTAGGGACCAAAGTAGTACAGACTACCAGAGAGGGCGGTGCATGTACCCTTTACTGCGATGCAGAAGAGAGCAAAAGCTATGAACACTGAAGAAGAGTACCTATGTCAGGGGACCGATCAAGGGGTATCCGTGAATGAAGCAATAAGTATTCAGAGGGAAAGGCAAGAGAGGGAGAAAGAAAGAGTCGTGCTATCTGGCGTCCTCCGGGTAGGTATGTCCTCGTGGTATTATGACAAGCCGGACGGGACCGTGGTCCGGAGTACGGTGTTGGGCACAATTCATTCTTGACCCTCTCGGACATTAGGTCTCTGACCTCTTCTCCCTTGGCTTCCGTTTTACTCAGTTCTCATCCTAGAGGTTTTGTAGCACGATGCCCGAACGTCCGGCGGAGCGGCGGAGATGGACCTCGAGTTGGGGAAAAAGGCACGCGCGGCGCGCCATGCGCTACAGACCGCATACCGGCGGCTGCAGGACCGCAGAACCCATCCATATAGGTACTGCGAGTCTGCAATTGAGTCTCGGCCCTCGATGCGTGCGCGCATAATACCCCAGATCCCATGCTGACACCATCTTGCACTCCTTCTCCAAATTCCCTCACTGGCTCATTGTCCCTCGGCGCATCGCGGTGCAGCCGGCAAGGTGTCTTCACTGCCTTGGTCACTTGGTGTAGGAGAAGTGGATTGGGACTTTGAGCCGAGGTAAAACAGGGGTGAGCAGGCGTTAGCTCCAGAAGCTAGCCAGCCCCATGCACGCAGCTTTTACCCCGTACTTTTCTTCTTTACGATGGTGCCGACCGCACCGGTGGATACGCACGATACGGTACCTAAGGAGCTGTAACTTGTACGGAGTATGCGCACATCCTTACCCCAGTATCTGTACGAATACTCCAGGCGGTCTCCGTCTCTTGTGAAAATCCCCTCAATCCGCTCTCCTCACAAATAATCTAGGAGGCCGGAAAATCGTCGGCTTTCTGGCTTTGCTAAGCCTAGGCTCTCGGCTTCATTTGCCTAGGATGTTCGGTCGAATCCAAACGACAACCGGTGCTCATTGCATCCCAACGCGGGGCTTCAAATCGTGAGCCGCCAACTCAGTGCCATTTTGCTCAATGGGTACATTACCATTCAATATCGCACCTCCACTTCGATTCTACACCACTGACTGAGAGCACACAGACTGATATTTACCATAACATGAGTAGCCACTACGTACACCGGACAGGAGGGGAGCCCCAAACAAGGCCGGACTATCGGAAGATCGAGCTGATCAAGGTCACCTTCCGTTTGCCCGGACACCTTGGCATCTCAACAGCTCCCTGAGCCAGGACAGTCAGATGTCCAGAATGCTCTCGGGAAAGGGTGCTTTCCAAAATTTGACAGAGAGGCGCTTTTCCTTTATCTTTACCCTGCTGTTTACTTCACCGGCCGGTTCGTGAAGCACGGCCCCACAGCCCGGCCGGACACCTGCCACACCAGCCTAGGTCACGGTCACGGTCACGGTCACAGTCACACGGGACTTTATCTCACAGATTGTGGTTGACCTCAGCATCCCAAGCACCACTACCGCGCCGTACGCGCATTAGCGAGGTGGCTAGCTCAACGGCCGCAAAAGTAGATCACCTTCACTTGAGCTTACCCATGCAGCTGGACCTGACAACCTTATGACCCATTATTCCCTCCAAACATGTGAGAGCAAGCTAACATAGCATATCCATCAAACTACCAGTACTGCTTCACCACGAGATTAATACCAGGTACAGAGCAATACATTAACATGTGTCAGCGCCCTTTGCCCAGGATGGAGCTCGTAACTCACTTGGCAACCAGGTAGCTCGAGTGATCACACTGTCGTCCTCAGAATTCCCTTAAGGGCTACACATCACAAGGTGTTGGCAAAGCGAGAAGCAGGCAGAAAACGGGTAGTGTAAGTATCTAATACAGTTGCGTAAACGACAATACGTCGCCCAGCCATAGGAATCCCTCCGACGCCCAAAATCATCCAGACTATTTCAATTCACCACAATTATTTGTGCCGTTCCCTGGTCATCACCAAACCAAACCCCTTGCAAAATACAGGGACCCCGTTCTCCGCCTACACGCAGAGCTATATTCGTCCCAATGGATCTCATAAATGTCTTCTTTGAGGGAGAGACACCGTGTCATGAGCCGCATCAAGCCTCGAAGCTCTTAATCTGTCCTCCACTGCTCAAAGGCTGCACAGCGCCTGCTCCAGGCGCCGCCTGAAAGGTGAGGTTGGCTCCGTCAGACATCGCATCCTGGGCTTGCTTAAGACCTTGATCACCGCCCGTCTCGACTGCCGCCTTGAGTCCATCCTGCACCTCGCGGACGCGACGCTTGAACGCAAGGCGATCCAGGAACAGCTGTTGCCGTCCTCTCTCGAGCTCTCTTCTCTCTGCCTGCAAGATGGCCTCCATCTCGTTGAAGTACTTCAACTTCAACTCCAACTTCTGCAAAGTCAGGTTGGCCGCAGCGGACACTAGTCTTGTCATCTCACGTTCCTCGTGGGACACGAGGCCAGCGGCCCGGGCGCCCATGGTGGCCATAGGAATGGTGGCTAGCGTCGTCGTCGTCGTGGTAGTTGTCGTAGTGACGTCTTGGCGGATATCAATCTCCATTGAGTCGCCGTCCTTGTCCTTGCCCTTGCCATTGGTCACAGCTTGCTCCTCCGAGTTGCCACCCTCAAGTCGCCTGCGAAGCTTACGCGTGAGCTCTTCGGCAGACTTGTTCGCCGCTGCCGCCGTGCTGGCAGGGTCTGCGAGGCCGGCAAGGAAGCCGACAACAGACATGACCGGGTTATCCGCCTGGCTAAAAGGCAGATGGCCGCCCTGCTGTCCGAGCATTGCAAGGCCGGTTGGCGCATTCACGGCAAGGTCCGCGTCCGCATACTTGCCCTCAATGTCCAAGGACAAGAATTGCAAGACACACTCTTCGCGTGTTCGCGTACCCACGTGATCCGCAATCTCGTTCCAGTCGTCGTCCATCCTCTCGATGCCTTCAAGCAAACGAAGGATCTCGGCATCGCTCCACGGTGCGTCTCTGTCGAGGACGGTCGTGTATGTGGGGTTTTCCATGCGGGTGAACTGAGCACTTGTCTGGTTGCCTGGAAGGTGGCCCTCGAGGAAGCAGCTTGGGCAAACATCGTACTTGGTCTTGGAATTCGGGTCGGCCTGAGAGCTGTGGTAGTATAGCCTGGTGCAGTCGATGCCGCAAGTGTGACAGTTGACCTTGACAATGGGTGTCTTGGTAGCATCTTCGATACCCGAAACACCATTCGTCACCGGCGTTTCGCCATTGGTCTTCGGTTCGCTCTTGTTGAGTTTTGTACCCTTGGCGCTTGCTTCGTAGATGTTGCGACTGACTTCCAAGTTAAGCTCGCTCTTAGCAACCGGTGTTGCCGCGGCCTTCTTTTCTGTATCGGCGCTGGGCTTGCCGGCAGAGACTACGGCATCGGCAGATGGCTGCCACGGCTGGAGACCACGTGGAGTGTCGCAAATGATCTTGAAGTGACCAGTGAACGGGGGGCCAACATGCGAGGGTCGTTGCTCTGCATCAACCTGCATCACTTCAGTCAGTTCACCGCACAAGACAGCGTATCAATGTTGATCCTACCTGGTAGTTAATCAAACCCCACTGCTCGAGGAATGAGTGGACGCGCATGATGGCGCAAACATCTCCAGCCAAGTTTCGTCTGCAGGCTGTGACAGTAAGGTATTCCACGGGATTCAACCTGTAAGTGTTGATCATGAAATCACGGTAGTCCTTATAGACAGCTGGCGTTTTACTGCGGTTGCGACTGTTGAAGAACTCGGACATGGCCTTGCGCTCGATGTCGTTGATCGTGTTCATGTCGAACCAGGTGCTGTAGCTCGGCAAGACGATGGCATGCGTTTGCGAGATGAGATGTTCTCGGGCCGCGTTTTCGAGTGTCTCCTTGGTCTTGGAGTCTTGCCCCTCCGCATCGTTTGCAGCTGCAGTATCATCGCCGCCCTTTGCTGCTTGGCCATCCTTCGTTTCGTCGCGAGCACCGCCCATTTCCTCGTCCTGCGTAGCCTCGGGCGCGGGGCCATCGGGGGCGTCGAGGGGATTGTCGGATGTGACGCCTGGTGCAGGTGTCGCGCTGTCCTGCTTGATGCTTGGCTCGGCGACCGGACCTTCCGTCATCTGGACATCTAGAAACATAGTCTTGTTAGATGCCATTAATTGTACCAACGAAAGCAGTGCTAATGGGGTCGCCAATGGCACGCACCTTCAGCTCCATCTCCCGGGGTAGGCGCGGCAGGTTGCAAAGGTGGTTGCGAAAGAATGGGATTGCTGCCAGGAGAGGCGGCGTTGGATATTCCGTAGTTGGGTTGGTCCTCCATGATGACTTGTGACTGAATGGATCTTAGGAGGAGGCAGGCATCCGAACTCTTGTCAAGGTGCGCAGAAGCTCAAAGGCGCGACGCGCAAAATGGAATACAAACTGCACGGATAGAATCCCCTATGACATGCGACTGGTGGAATTGATTGATTGATGATGCAGCCTGTAGGTGTGCCCCTCCAAAAGCGCGTGGTTCTTGATGGGAGATGATGAGGTGTGGTCGTTATGGAGTCGCGTCTGGATCTGGAGGAAATTTTGGCGCGAAGATACCGGGGGAACTGCTCTGTCCTTGGGCCTCTCCAAGTGTGCCTTTCCCCTGCGCATTCCCCGTAGAAAGCTGAAGCGCGACGCCAAGTCCATCGGATCACGTGGACCAGAAGATGTCACGTGTTACAGTCACGATCAGTCTCGATGACTAAGCCTCCGGTGCACGTCCCTTGTTCTGTGTCCTGAGTCCGGATTCCTGAGAGGCTAGGTACCTAAGTAGGTGAGGCCGAGAGCTCGGAGCATAAAGCCGACTGGTTTGCTGCAGCTAATCTCACCCCCCCGCTTAAGCCAGAGCGTCTCTACCTCTGATGACGGCACTTTGGCAGCTGAGAAAGGCTTCATGCGAACTCGGCCTAGTAACCTCGGGCCGTGTCCAACCGTCCCTCTTCAACTGGAGATCCTTCACATCAACACCAAAGCCCTCGCTCACGGTGAGCCTCGCCAATTGTTCCTCTAAACGAGCCCAGTAAAGCCGGTACTTCTCGCGTTCATCGTAGCCGCAAAAATGCTGTTCCTTGCTCGAAGAGCCGCCGGCAGCGGGGCTGTCGCAGCGTCCAGAGGACTCTCGGGGTTCCGATCTGCATCGAGAAGAAGTCTGCTGTCGACCCTCGCCATTCTCGAGCAGAGAGAAGGTCAATTGAATCATGGCTCCCTGAGCGCCATCACAGCAGCAAAGAAGCTGGGCGGATCTATTCACGGCTTTGTAGCGGGAAGCAACATCAAGGGTGTTGCCGATGAGGCGGCAAAGGTTGAAGGTGTCGAGAAGGTCATTGCAGTCGACAATGCCGCGTATGACAAGGTAGGCCATTATTGGAGAAAATCGACAAATTGTAAGGTTCCGGAGCTGACAATTTCTATACTTGCAGGGTCTCCCCGAGAACTTCGCACCGCTGTTGGTCGAGAACATCAAGAAGGGCGGCTACACTCACATCATCGCTGGACACACTGCCTTTGGAAAGAACTTGATGCCCCGCGTTGCCGCCATGCTGGACTCGCAGCAAATCTCCGACATCACTTCGATCGAGGGTAAAAACACCTTCGTCCGCCCGATCTACGCCGGCAACGCCATCGCGACAGTAGAGTCATCCGACGAGATCAAGGTTATAACCATCCGAGGCACGGCCTTCCCCGCTGCAGAAGTTGCCAGCGGCTCAGCTGCTGTGGAGGATGGCGTTGATCCCAAGTCTGACTCTGCTACTGAGTGGGTGTCAGAGGATCTTGCCAAGTCAGACAGGCCCGACCTGGCTACCGCTGGGAGGGTTGTCTCTGGCGGCAGAGGCCTCAAGTCTAAGGAGGAGTTCGATAAGGTTATGCTGCCCCTGGCCGATTCTCTGGGTGCTGCCGTTGGCGCCTCCAGAGCCGCTGTTGATAGCGGGTACGCTGATAACAGCTTGCAAGTTGGACAGACCGGCAAGGTCGTTGCACCTCAGTTGTACCTGGCTGTTGGTATTTCGGGTGCCATCCAGCACTTGGCTGGTATGAAGGACAGCAAGGTCATTGCTGCCATAAATAAGGATGCCGATGCCCCTATTTTCCAAATTGCGGACGTTGGGCTCGTGGGAGATTTGTTCGACAAGGTGCCAGAACTGACCGAGAAGATCAAGCAGTAAATAGCCATGTTTGTATAGTTTACAAAGAGGGGTATTTCTACATTTGATTACAGTGCCGTATTCTATGACAGGACCTCAAGCATGGCCTTGGTGGATGTGAATTTCTCCCGTTCCTTGCCCGCGGCCTTACCCTTTTCCTTCTCTACGCTATCGATCCTTTGCCAATCTTCCCAGCTTGTTCTCTTATGAGCTGAGTCGCCGATTTCTTCGCGGACGCCATCCCACCCTGCCGAGGGCTTCTCATCTCCCGCAGACAGGAACTGCAAACCAGACAGCCAATCTTGGATGATGGAATCGCCCGTCTCAAAGGCGTCTTGCATGGTCGAGGCAATGACGCCAGTCGGTCCTCGTTTAACCCAACCGGCACAATAGACACCGGGGGTTACCCCTGACTGCGTCGCTTCAGACGCTTCTTCCTGATCTACCGCAACAACTCTGCCGCGTCCGTCGTTCATCACGACACCTCGGCGGTCATCGAAGGCTACACCAGCCTCTTTGAAACCGGGCAATGGAATGGACTTGTAGCCAATGGAACGGAAGACCAAGTTTGAAGGCACCGTGACAGTTTCTCCGGTAAGCCGGGCCTGAGCACCGGGATCAAATTTGTGAGACAATTCCGTCTTCTCGAACACGGTGCTCCCAACATCGGCAGGAGAATTTTGGTTGGCCAAAAACTCGACGGGATTCAGGCAGAAGTCGAGTGACCATGACTTCTCGACATCGTCTGGTCGAGACATGGAGCCCTTGGCGACCACTTCCATCAACCGTTTTGCTGCTCTTGGAAGTGACTTGATGTCGGGGGGTATAAGCGTGCTGTCCACCGGATGAAAGCCAACACTTTGAATCTTCATCAACTCCCTGACTTCCTTGATTGTGAACGCGGCCTAGATGGAAGGATTAACTCGTCTGCTCTGTTAGGACGGGGAAAGTTGAGCGGTTGACTCACCTGCATTGGACCTCGTCTACCAACGACATGAACCCTCTTGACGCGAGAGGTTGCAAGCTGAGCAAGGGCCTCTTCTGTGATATCTGTCCGCCGCAAGGCATCGATATCTTCTAGGAGCATTCTAGCAACATCCAATGCTACGTTGCCCTGGCCAATCACGACGGCCTCATCTCCTTTTGTGAGATCGGGCGATAAACCGGCATACTCAGGGAGCCCATTATACCAACCTACAAACTGGCGGGCCGAGTAGACGCCTTGGAGATTGGATTCTCCAGGAATGCCTAGGGTTCTATCCTTGGCGGCCCCATAGGCGAGTAACACTGCATCGTAATTCCGCAACAAGGTGGGAAAGGGCACATTGCAGCTGTCGGCATGACGGCCTACGTCGCCTATGGATACATTGCCCATGAAGTTAAATCTGGGTGACGCCGCAACCTCTGTGAATTTGTCCTGACAGTTCTGGCGGTTGTGTAAGCAGCGTGCGCTGGTGAGGCAGATAATTGAACGAGGGTATCGAACCTTGACTTCGGGATGATCCGGGGCAACACCGAAGCGGACGAGGCCGAAGGGTACCGGCAGCGACTCATACATGTCCACTGTGGTCTCTGGGAGCTGGGACATTACCCGGTAGGCGGAGTAGAAGCCTGCTGGACCGGAGCCGACGACGGCCAGTCGGAAAGGGGCGTTTGGTTGGCGGACTTGTCTCGCGGCGGTACTCGACGGGCGCGATCCGGAAGTGCCGGTGGCCACTTCCATCCCGAGACGGCTGTAGGCTGGGCGCAGCCGGGCCCGGCATCGGGATAGAATCATGGAACCGGTGGAGGGTAGCTCGGAGTGGGCTTTGGTCTGATTTGATTTGAGAAAGTTGACTTGTCCGAGATGATACTGGACGCTGCGTTTTCAGCCAGGTAAATTTGAGATAGTCTGCTAAGTGAAGATAGGAAGCTACCGCCAAAGCTGGTTACGGCAGCCCGAGTATAGGGCACCGAGTGAGTCAAGTCAAGGAAGGCGTCGGCGTGGAAGCTTTCGGATTTAAATCGAGAATCCACAATCCGAAGCCGGGCCTAGTTGCGGTACCGATGTAAGGCATGGGCTCGGTGTCCTCGGCCTGTGGCTTATGAAGCCATTTACAAGGTAAGGAGTACCTTGGCTGCTTAACTTGAGCGATGACTGGATTCGATGGAAGATTCGTGAAAAGCTTTTTCCGCTGGTGAAGAAAAGCAGGCCTGCAATTGAACTATCGATGCCGAGACCAATGAAGCTGTAAGACCTTGTTGCAGCTTCTCTTGAATCACAGCTACTTGTAAAAGTGCTCTGTTGCTTGTACTCGAGGGGTGGTCCAAGCGTCGTACGTCATTTCGTCCTCTCAAAAGTTGGGGGGTTCGGGACCAAGTGGATATCTTAGTAGTGTACTAACTACTAACTGTGCTACCCATGTTCCACGATCCAAACATCTGGAGGTGAGAGATCAATGATCGTCGAGCCAGGAAGAGGTGCAGACAGACAAGGTAGGCAACTTCGGATGACAGATATCTGGCGCGACATGCTTCAAACGAACATTCCCTGGACATGAGGTGACAAGGTTAATCGAGCTTGCTGAGGTGCAGCTCCCAAGACATGCTACATTAGTGCTGCAGGAACGAGGAGTTGCCATGGCAACCGCCACGCGCCAGCTGCAACACTAGACTCAAGATGTACCCAACGTAAACCAACCGATCCGGGAAGGCTGGAAAACAACTGGGCCTTTGAGCGATGCGGCTTCAACCTTGGTAAGGCTTGGGCAAACACAGGATTTGCCTGTACCTTTGCGCATCTCACCTTGGGTTTGGCCTTTCAGATTCTGGTCCCTGTCTTGCTCTTAACCATCCTTCCTCGCCCTCCACCTCACCACCCATTCCCCCACCCCCCACCTCTTTCATTCATTCACATGTCCGTGGTAAGTCAGAGGAAAGCGAGACCTTAGACGCCTCAACCCAACCACCGGATACCCTTCAAGTTGGCGGCATTCCAGCCGTCTGACCTCTGTTAAAGTCTTGTCCGCGCATTCCTCTCCCTCTTTTCCCAGAGGACACGCAAGGACAATACCAACGCCGTGTCGCGACCATGGCTCAACAACCATACCTCTACAATGTCGTCAGCAACAATTCTCGATTTCCAGAGCCAAAGTTTGACCCCAAGGCAGTGACCCGCGCAAGTTGGGAGCCGCAGCCGCGCAAGCCGAAGCCTGATGGCCCTTTGGTTACCTTCAACCGTCATCCCGAGTAAGTATGCTTGGCCCAGAATCTGCAGCGAGGACTGTCTTTATCAATGAGAAGCGGTAAAGTTGAACTGATTGCCTATTCTGCTGTAGTGCTCATCTGGTACTCAACCATCGATCCAACAACTATGTTGCCCTCGGCCCTAGAACGAAGAGCTGGATCAAGGCTATGCGCATCGTTCAGCTGTGCTTGAGGGTCCTAGAATTGATCGGTGCTGCTGGACTCCTTGCTCTCCTCATCCTGCTAGACAATATTGAGACTTTAGCTGGCTGGGTCATGCGTATTACGGTTCGTCCACTGCCCAGACTGCCTGCTCCAGAGTTTGAAGTACCCGGAACTGACTGACCTTCTTTCAGCCGGGTGTGGCCATGGTGCACTGCCTTTACGGCATTTACCATCTCCAGCGGCCTGCGGGAGGCCGCAGTCCTGCATCGTCTACTGCCTACCAACTTTTCGCCAGCATCTCCGATCTCGGTGTTATGCCCCTTTACGCCTACGGTGCTCTGACTGTCAACAACAGCGGCGGCACCTGGAAGACGCGCCTTTCCGACCAAAGCCTACTGGACTATTTTCTTCCAGCCGTCTTCTATACCTTTATCGGTGCAGGGGGGTTGCACTTGATCTCTCTCGGCATCTCAATATGGCTTGGTGTCATGTTCCGCAAAATTACTGAACTGCCCCCCGACATGAACCCCCTAGAGGACAACCTCACCTCCCGAGCCAAACACAAGAGAAATAAGTCCAGTGTTGCGACCTCCATGAGTGGCGACAGCGAAAAGAGACTGTCAACACCTCTCGAGGATCGTCGTCGATCAGGTGCTCCGTATGAGGATGTATCTCGACCACCTAGCATCCCCTTTCAACGAACCCGCGCCGGCTCCGACGTTTCTAGTTTTAACCGCAATTCCTTTGTTGATCTTCCCAGTCGCCAGTATCAGGTTCCTCCAGGAAATCTACAAAATCAGACAACAGGCGTCAGCGAGTATGCTCGCATGTCTGGGCCTCGATCCTCATATCGCGGGTCTTACACCGAGGTGCCACTCCACGAGACCAATATCGCAGGATCCCGAACTTCTCTCTCCTCCGCAGTCCCGGCCCCTGGAGGCAAATTCACTGAGACATGGTTTGCGACAGACTCCATGATTTCCCGCACTCAGAAGCGGAACCGGGCCATGGACCAGGCCACGACAGCTGCGGATACGCAGCGACAGGGAACGAGGAACAGCACTTACGAAGCTCTGTCTCAACGATACAACGTCGCAGATTCCGATTCAGAGCACGACGAGAACGACCTTGCTGGCAGTGACTTTGAGAATGACATCGGCAAGAGCCATCACCCGAACCCATTGAAGTCCCACCCGACGCCCCCCAAAACCAAGACTCCGTACTACTCGCTCAAGGATACGACATTGTCGGAAGTAGACCTCAACTCTCGTAGGGTCAGCGGTACCAACGATATTGCGGATCAGAGACCTTCATCGCTCGTCCCTCAACCCTGGCCGCGCAACCGCGACAGCTCCATCCAACCCGAAGCTGATTTCTACTCCAAGCCGTATGGTGAGCTGAAGTCGGCGACTCCTCCGGTCATGATCGGCGGCAATCGTCAAGTGTCGTCCGGCAACGACTTCAAAGACAACAAGTACTCGTCGGCTTATGGAAGGCGTAACGTGAGTGGCAAGGTCGCTGAAGAGGGCCTCGCAGGGTCGAAGGGCGTTCAATATGGCGTGGCGCGGTGATGAGGAGGTTTTCGTACGCAGCGAATGAAGTGTTTGTTTTGGGAGTTTGATACGAGAACACGGGTTGATTTTCACGACATCCGGTCGAAAAAGACTAGGAAGGGTATGGACAGCTTCATTAAATGTAAAGTAAAGTAACAAGAGAAGGCAACTACGCTGTGATACCAATACGAATAACAAAAGTCACTTCTGACATGTAAACTATTCAATTGCCCCTCTCGCAGATATGTCTCGAGAAATAACGAACACCGTAAATGATACTACAGGAGAGCGAACCAGGATATCACCGACAAGGGCAACGCTTGCGTACCACAACATGAAATCCAACGTTATGCTCGGGCGTACTTGGCCCAGTCGACCCGAGGTTCGGTTTCCTTCCACCCCATGTCGTCCCAGGAACCCAGTCCGGTGAGATGCCTCATCGTCGGCCGTCCATGCGGACAATTCCACGGCTTATCCAACTCGCCCATGTGACGGACGAGCTTCTCCATCTGTCGCTGCGCCAGAGCCTTGCCAATCATGACGCTGCTGCGGCATGCCCTCATGGCGAACATGGACCGCACCTTGGACGGCCGAGGGGCGCTGCTGATCTCGGTGAGGTGGTGGTCGCTGAGCAGAGATATGAGCTCCTCGAGGTCGGACAATGTGAATGTCGTCTCGCGGCTGAGGGGTAGCGCGAGGAGCTTGCACCTCGCTCCCACGGGCTGGTCGCCCGAGCTGTCCACGCTGACCTTGAACCCGTTAAAGTCCAGGGCCGGGACGTTTTCCATGACGATCTCTTCCTCCAGAGCTGTGAGTTCCAGCTGCTTCGGGTGCACCAATCTCTGAGACTGGACCACCGTTGTGGACTGCAGCTTCTCAAAGTTGTACTTTTCGTCCGACGCATGTTGGTCGATGATGAAGAGCTCGTCGTCCCCGACTGCGTCCCCGTCTCGGTCCTTGGCCGCGTGCCGAACTGCGATGATGAAGCCAAGATTGAACTGGCCGACAATGGTCATCTTTGCGAAATCTGACTTTGATATGATCAAGGATAGGGCTGCTTCTGCATCCTCGGCCTTGAGATCCTCGATGCCGGAGGTCTTGGACTGTCGGCTTCGGTTTTGGGCGGTGCGCCGTAGCTCTGCCTGCCAAGATTCGATGCGAGATTGTAAAGCGTTTGTGTCAATCTTGACATTTTGCCTCTGCTGTAAAGTTGCGTCTTTTCGCCTGGTCCCTCCTTTAAGGGCATTCGACCGGGCATCTGCGAACATAGTCTGCGCTGCTGCCTCATCCTTTAGACTGTCATCGTTCGTTGTGACCGGCACCGGGGTCTTGTTGCGGCTCAACACGTTGACATGGAGTCTATGTGTTGGGCTTGACAACGCTTCGGGTCTATCGGAAGCAGATTCAAATCCACCATCTGGACTAGCCGTGGCCTCATCCGCGGGCGCCCTTTCCTCTGAGCTGCCATCGCTCTCCCTGCCATCATCTGACTCTGCGCCGCCAAGTTCGCTGGGGTTTTCTGACAGATCTGTGCTTGCTCTAGCGACGCCTTTCTGTCTCACTGCATTGCTCGCAGAGTACATCTGGGTCAGCCTCGAGCCAAAGGAGGATTTCGCCGCGGTTGAGCTCATTGATGAACGAGCAGCCGTTGACCCCAACGCTGAGGACGACTCATGTCTCGTTCTCTTTGGAGTCGGCTCGACCGAGCTGGTGATGGTACTATCTCCAATAGATACTGTGGCAACTTCCAGAGCTGACCGCTTAGGTAGCCGTGGGGTAGATGAAGACATGAGAGGGTCAACTCTTGGTGTTCTAATAGGTGTCATAGCAGGAATCTGGGCTTGTCTACTTTCGGTGCCATCGTCAGAAGACTGCGAGACACTCTCCTGCGAAGCATCAGGTTCATGGTCTTTGTGGGCGTCTGAAAGCCGGGCGTTGAAGTCGAGAACCTGCCGCGGCGTCTTGAAAGAAGTGTGTTCGGCAGCTTCCGCGGCCACCTCGTTTTCTGATTCGGACGCACCAGGGTCGGAATCATTTGCTGGAGCCTTCTCACCACTGTCCTCGGCGACAGGCTCTTCGGATCCTGTTCCCCTTCCCCGTTGCAAAGCACGACCGTCGGCTGCTCGTCCAACCCACCGGCTTATTAAGCTCTGGGACTGTAGCTCTGCTGTTGTGAGCTTTTGCGGTTTCCTCTGACGAGGCTTGCGTGGCGGCTCAGTGTGTGAATGGGATTTTTCATCATCATCGTCGGAGCTAACGACATCTTCATCCTTTGGACTCGTCTGTTTCGCAGAGACGGCTGGTGCTTGGTTCGAAGCTGCGTCATCATCGTTGGAGCCGTCGCTATCGAGGACGGGGGCGGCCTTGGCTGCCTGTGTTGTTTGTGTTGGCTGCTGTGCGGACGGAATGGAGTAGTCCTGGGAGTCGAAAAGCGACGACAAGGCCTCCTTCATATTCTCCAACATGCGATTCTGATCATGCAGCATGATCGTGCGCTTATCCGGGCTGACGTTGACATCGTATAGGTGCGTATCAAGCTGGATATCAGCCAGTATGAAGGGCGACTGGGAGGCATTGTAAGCCCTGTAAACCTCATTGAAGACCTTGGCAAACTGGGGAAGGCCGCAAGGTCTGCCATTGACGAAGAACATTTGTCGATCAGGGGTCTGACGGCCCTCTCCGTGGGCTGGACGACTCACGTAACCCCGGACTTGGACCTTTGTGGAAGTTTGCTCGTCTTGACCAGCGAATTTCAGGCCCGGCCTAGCGGTGGGCTCGAACTGGAGGGAGAGATCGAGTTTCACCAGAACCGTCATCGTCTTGGCGCCGAAGATGTTGACCAGATTCTCTCGTGTGGTGGGGTTGCCCTTTGTAGAAAAGAGAATTATACGTTTTCCCTTGGTAGGTTGTTGGGAAACGGAAAACTTGACTCCAGTCTGGATACAAGCATACTGGTTCAGCAAGGCGATGACCTTGTTCCATTCTCTCTTGACGTTGCGCTGAAGCTCGCGGCGGCGTACAGGCAGGTTGTGAAACAGGTTCCCAACGATGACGTTGGTTCCCTTCTGGGCGGCGACCACATGGGTTTCCTTCAGCTTTCCTGATGACTCGAACTCGAGCCTTGTGCCTTTGGGAACATCCTGTGCCATGCAGGTGACAATGCTGAACTGAGACAAGGCACATAACGATGACAAGGCTTCGCCGCGGAAACCGAAGGTCTGGAGAGTAGCCAGATCGGAGTAGGTTGCAAGCTTCGAAGTGTAGTGCTTCAAGGCAATTGACTCGTAGTTGTCTGGTGAGATTCCCTCGCCATTATCCTGGACCTCTATGGAGTCCAAACCCTGGTTCTTGAAGCGCACATCTAGGTGTAGATATGAGCGTTGGAGTCTCGCCACAAATCACATGGAAGAGATTATTCCCCGAATTTGCGTACCTATGCTTGTAGCACCGGCGTCGATGCTATTTTCTACGAGCTCCTTGACGACGGAGCACAGATCAACAATGACTTGACCAGATTGAATCTGGTGAATCTGCGATGGTGTCAGTACAGGACGTGGGTGACGGTTTGTGGTGAGTTCACTGTGCGACCCTCGATGGGCTTGATTGTGGCCATGATTTCTCGATCAATTGAGATTAGACGCATGATCCAATTATTTCTGTATCCGTATCTCCACCTTATTCTCACGTGCCGTCTTGACAAGGAGTTTGGTCGTCGCTGGGTGTATGCGCATCGACATTTCTACATTACATCCATCGGCAGGTGTCGTGAAGTATTAAGGACCTAGGGATTGGGTGGAAGGGTAGACGCGTTGACCGGGCGTGCTCAGACGCGTAAAGTGGACGCATACCCACCACAGGCACCTTCAGTCGGTACCGTAGGTAACTTACCTAAGCAGGTGTTTTGCGCATGGCGACCCGATATATAACCGTCGGGTCTTTCCCACCTCAGACCTGCCCTTCACCATCTGTCCGTATTTAGATGTCCCAAGGTACCTAATACATTACACTGCCCGGGTACAATATGACTGATGTATCTATCTTTGGTACATTGTTTGAAGAGGAACATGGGGAGTTGAATGAAGACGTAGGTACTCAGCCATAGCAAGCCACAATTAGCAAATGAGGAACGTCGATGAATCCGTACTTGTTCTTTGCATGTTGGCAATGTCGGCCTTAATACGGTACACCATGCCCTGGACCCCGAGGGCTCCACGTCCGTCTAGGGTGCCGTGGTTGCGAAACAAATGAAATTAAATCGGAAGGCTTGACTTCACGGAGATGTGAATACTGGAGCGCGGGATGGGGCCATGCATCACCCCGCTAATCTATGCTTTCCTGATTTCCGTGGGATTCAATTACAAGTTTCCCATGCTTCCACAGCCTTCGCTGCACGCTACAAATATCCCCATGATGTCTTTCCACCCTGTCGTGCCTGCCAAGACTAGCCCTTTAAATGATGTTTTGTTTCTTCGAAGTGATGTGTCATCAGGGAATTGTGAATGGCTAAAACCAACTCCCCGGTAAGGGTGGGGGAGTAGAGCACCGGCCAATATCCGCTGCATGCACTTAGATATGAGGGAATCTTCAAAGTTAAAAGCAGATCTCCATGCGTACAGACAACCAGAGGGACTTGGACGTGCTTGATGGGGAAAACCTTGTTTTGGCACGTGTCGTTGCTCACATTCGTGACGTCCCTGATGAACCCAAATGATCATCGTTTGAGATAGTGTTTGCCAGAGGTCGACATCTCGGAGAATTGGAACGTTTAGCATTGCACATTTAATACAGGATGCAGTGAAGCATAAAGCAATTGTTTCATTGGCCCACCTCAAGAAACTGCACTGCAACATCGAATTTCACGACACCCCACGCTTAGAGTCTTTGGCTATGCTTCAGAGGTTGGAAAAGACCTGGATGTGGATAGGACCAGAACATCTGTGTCGATCCCCTTTTTTGCCAAGTCCTGCAGCTGTTGCGGGTTAAGAAGACGAAGCCTCAACTTCTCAATAGGTCCGAACAACTGTGTGGGCCTTTTTTTCTTTCTTCTTGCGGCAAACCTTGGCAACAAGTAGCTAGAACCCAATGCTTCAAGGGAAAGTCGTTGGAAGCTGACAACTTCGGCTTTAGTAATACCAATTCGACCGAAGCAGACTGTATGCCACCATGCGCAGCAGCGCAGCATGGTAAGCTGCAGAAAGCATGCACTG